AAAAAAAAAAAAAAAAAAAAAAAAAGGCCTCCAGATGTAGCTCAGTGCAAAGGCCCTGGAGTCAATCTTCATGAACAAAATTAATTAATAAATTGCATACCTGTAGAATAAAGGACTGGGCCAGCAAGATAGCTCAGTGGTCTAAAGTGCCTGTTTTGGCAAGGTTAGGCAGGCGCAGGGGACCGCAGTTCGATCCCTGCCACCACAGGCCTTGCCAGTCTTGTTCTTTGCGTGGGCTGAGCTGGAAAAAAAAGTAAATAAAGGAAAATAAATAAATAAAAAAGAATAAAGGACCAAGTAATTTAAGGTCATGATAAACACTAAATGTGTTATTGTGGCAAAAACTGGCACAACCTGCTTGAGGAAAGAAGTCCTGAGAAGGCACTGACTGTGCTGATGACACTGTGGTCCTCACTGGGGGAGGGGGCGACACAGTTTAGTATTGTTTAATCTTTTCTATATGCTTGAAATATTTCATCTTTTTAAGGTGATAGACTCTTCCACCCAGCAATTTCACACTAACACATTCCCAGTGTGTGCAAGGAAGCAGGGTAAGAACCATCACTGCGGCCCCGTCTGTAGCCAAGAACCTCCACTGTCGGGAACGGGTAGCGAGCTGTGTTCTGTCCATACAGTTCAAACCATTATGATTTAAATGAATAACTAGAGCTATATACATTTAAATGTCTACATTTTAAAACATAATTTGGAGGCTGGGGAGATGGCACAGTGGAATAAGCACTTGTGTGGCAAGCGCAAGGACCTGAGTTCAATCCCCGGTTCCACCAAAAAAAAAAAAAAAAACATAATTTGAGGGCCCATCAAATAGCTCAGTGGATTAAAGCACCTGCTTAGGCAGATGCACAGGCCCCTGTGGTGTGCTGAGATGGGGATTGAGACTGGGCATGGTGGGGCATGCCTGTACTCCCAGAACTTGGGAGGCTGTAAACAGGAGGCTCACTACTAGTTGGGTCTACGCAGTGAGACCCTGTACACCCTGTACACCCTGTCCTAAATACAAAACAAACAAACCATAATTTGAGAGAAAATAGGGTTACTGGAAGATATTTGCAATTTGATACCACTTATATACATATAAAATTATATTTATTCTTAAACCACACATGGTGGTGCATGCCTATAATCCCAGCACTCAGGAGGCTGAGGACAGAGGATCATTGTGAGCTCTGGACCAGCCTGGGCTTCAAAGGGAGTTCAAGGCCAGCCTGAACCTCATAGGGAGACCCTGTCTCAAAAAGACAAAAAAAAAAAAAAAAAAAAAAAAAAAAAAAAAAAAAAAAAAAATCAATAAAATAAAATTATAGCCAGGGAGATGGCTCAGTGGAATAAGTGCTTCCCTGGCAAGTGCAAGGGCCTGAGTTCAATCCCCGGTTCCAAAAAAATAAAAATAAAAATAAAATAATATTATACTTATCCATTATGGCTACATGCACATGTAAAAAAATATCAAAATATAGTTTAAAAACAAGTTTTATTTCACCTTGGCTAAGAAATGCTACCCACATACTTGGTGAAGCTGTTCTGTTTCGGTGAAGATAGTTTTCAGATGAGATGAACACCTGCATCAGTAGACTTAGAGTCCAGCAGATTTGCCCACCACGGCGGCGTGAGGCCCTCAGCGGTCAGGCGAGACGGAGCCCAGCACTGTGGCAGACGCCGCTGGGCCCAGCAGGCTCGGCCCTGAGGGGTTTCAGACTCGCCCGGCCACCAGTTCCTTCAGATAAGCCCATCTCTCTCCCCTCCCCACACATGTATATAAGTGTAAGTGTACAGGCGTCAGCTCTGTATACCAACTCCCTCCTATTGGCTGTTTCTCTAGAGCAGCCTAACACACAAGGTACAAAATCCAAATTCAAGGTGGCAGTTACTTCTGGGAAGGAAGGGGGCACACAGGAAGCTCTGCCCAGGCGGTGGCTTACAACGCTAATCCCACTGACTCAAGAGGCTGACAGAGGAGGGTTGCAGATTCCAGGGGCCTGGGCAATGCAGCCGGGCCTTTTCCCAAGATACACAGGGCTGGGGTTGCTCAGGGGTAAAGTGTACCTGAGATCCATGCCCATTTGGGGGGCACAGAAAAAGGAACTTGAATGTCTATATTTTGCTTAAAATCTGAAGCAAGCAACTATTGGGGGTACAACTCAGTGGCGTAGTGCCTGCCCAGCAAGGACAAGATCCTGAATTCCATTCCCAGTACCAAAAAACCCAAACAAATAAAATAAAGAACTGTACTTTGTAAGATAGCTGTGGTCATTAAAGCATGTGAAATACACAAAGAAAACAGCACACGTTGTGTTGACATTATGTATTTGATGCTTCCATGCACTTAACCTCTTTTGAAGCCTTAAATTCTCTAACAGAGATGAACTGAAGCATGTGCCTGGGCGGGCTCACTATGCAGAGTACCAAATAAATAAGGAAGATAAGGGTAAGAAGATACTTGAATGTCAGAATTAGGGCAGTTTAAGAATAGATAATCTCAAAAAAAAAAAAATAGATAATCTCTTGGTGACTTCCTGTTCAGAAACCCAGTTGATGATTGTTATCTTAACCACAATGGAAGGTGCTCTGATCGCATCCGATACGCAGTCTGCCTTTCCAAAAAAGTAGCTTGCCGCAATGTTTGTCTTCACAGGAAGCGCCCGGAAGCTGGAGCTAAGGATCAGACTATTCTGCAGGCACGTCCTGCTTGATCACTGGGTGCACCAGAGCGACTCCGCTTTCTGGCTGACACGAATATTAAAACCATGGCCGATGGTGAACCAGGCGCGGTTGCTGTATATCATTTTTGGCCCCACGTCGCCTCAGGATGGTGAGCATCTATTCTTCCCTGTATTGTTTTCCTGGTTGGTTTCGTGATTGCTAATGACAAGGCTGTGTTTCAGGATTTTATAGCTACAAGCTACATTCCCTTGTAGCTTAAGCTTTAAGGCAGAAATTGTTCTTCAGTAAGTCATTGCTAAATATATTTGTCATCCTGCTTTGCCTGAAATAGCTGCCTTTTAGTCTGAAACATTATAGTTTTGGTGTTTTTTTGGTTTTTTTTGACAGGATTTCTCTATGTAGTTCAGACTGACCTTGAACTCATTGCTGTTCTCCTGCCTCAGCCTCCCGAGTGCTTGGATGGCAGGCATGTGGCTCCACTCCTGGTTTAGTCATAAACATTCTCTTATCTCGAGGTTATATTTGCTCCTAGAGGGACTAAGAAAGCTGAGAGGCAACTCAGGGCTCAGACAGATGCTTTACTTACTTAATCTGATTTTTTCCCACAGCTTTGTTTAGTACATATCATTTATACAGACCAGTGGGTTCAGTCTTGCAGATTTAGCCGGGTTTGGTGCTGCACACCTAATTCCAGTGCTCTCAGAGTCTGAGGCAGGAGTGGCAAGTTTGAGCCCGGGCTGGGCAGCCTGGCCCCTTGGTGTGACCTTGTTGTGAAAGGAAACATGGAGTGGGAATGTAGCTCAGTATGAAGGCCCTGGCTTCGATTCTCAGGATTGAAAAACAAAATTGAAGTGTGAAAATCTTACTGTGTGGGGGTAACTATCTGTTCGGGCCCCCCTCCTGTCCCTCTCTTGGACAGGAGCTTTCTTTCCCTCAATAAATATATTCTGCTAAAAAAAAATCTTACTGTGTGTATGGAACATAGGATTCTTTGTTTACTTGACTGACTGTTCTTACAGCCCTGGGATCAAGCACAGGGCCTTCGCACTGAGCTACAGCCCCACCCCATTTTTATGTTTTATTGTGAGACCGATTCTTGCTAAGCTGCTAAACTGTTCAAACTGGGTTCATACCCTCAGTCCTCCTATCCCAGCCTCCCAGAATGTTAGGATTACTAGCATTTGCCAGCATTCCCAGCTGGGACGGAACCGATTCAAAAAGTATGCTGAGTAGCAGCAGAGAGCCAATCTGGGATTAAAATTTTGTTGTATGGTTTGGGACAGGGTCACATGCCTGTAGCCCAACTCCTCAGGAAGAAAGGCATGGAGGCTGCTCAGAGCCCAGCCCCAGCCACAACAGTGAAAATGGGCGTGGTGTGGTCGCGCACTGTGCACTAGCGCACTGGGGCGCTGAGGCAGGAGGAGCAGTGCAAGTTGCAGGCCAGCCTGGGCTACAGGGTGAGCTCAAGCCCAGCCTGAACTGTGTAGCGAGACCCTGTCTCAGAGCAAAAAAAGAAGTGCTGTGTGTTACACAGAGAATTAGCCATAAGCAAATAATCCAGAATTGACTGACTTGTTTTGTTTTAATATAAATGTTTGAAAGATTCTCAGATATAGCCTGGTCTTTTTAGGGGGAGGATATCAGTAGGTCTCATTTTGCTTTAGTAGGATCATAACAACTGCTCATTCCAATTTCTGTTATGAAGTAAGATTTTTTTTTTTTTTTTTTTTGTACCAGTGATCAAACTCAGGACCTTGTGCTTGCCAGGCAGGCGCGTAAGCCACTGAGCTATCTCCCCGGCTTGTAAGATCATTTTTGAACCCAAAGTACCATTTTGTGTAGTGAGACTACTCTTTTTTTACTTTAGCTGCCAGTGTTGTGTTCCATCAGAGCAGTAAGGAGAATTTTAGGGGTTGGGTTTTTTTTGTTTTTGTTTTTGTTTTTTGCATTTAAATGTAAACGAGGTGTGGGAGACTGAGACAGGAGGCTTAGCATAAAGTTCAAGGCCAGCCTGCACTACATAGTGAGACCTATAGCAATAAATAAATAAATAATTTATAGTGTTATTAAAACTGACTATAAGTAATTGATTTCTGTTCTGAAATCTACTTCTTCTTTCTTACAGGAGACTGAATAACAGTGTTTTTACCAGGGATCAAACTAGGGACCTTGCACTTGCCAGGCAGGCGCATAAGCAAACTGAGCTAGCTCCCCAACCCCAACAGCGTTTTTTGGTTTTGTGGGCACCAGGAGTTGAGCTCAGGACCTTATGCTTGCCAGGCAGGTGCTGTGCCGCTGCTCTTTAGCTCCAGCTACCTGTGCTGGAGGCTGAATCCAGGGCCACATGCCAGGCAAATGCTCCAGCACTGAGCTTTATCCCCAGCCGTTTAAAAAAAAAAAATTTTTTTTTTGTTTTGCAACAGGATCTTGCTAAATTACTCAGGCTAACCTCAAGTTTAACAATCCTCCTGCCTCAACCTCCCATGTAGTAAAATGACCAATAAAAGTGATTAGGTGGGCTGGTGAGATGGCTCAGTGGTCTAAAGCACCTACTTAGAACAAGCTTAGCAAAGCATCAGGGACCGCGGTTCAGTCCCCAGCACCACATGCCAGCCAGCCCCGCCCCCTGGTGGGCTGAGCTGGCCACACACACACACACACACACACACACACATAAATAAATAAAAAAAAAAGTGATTAGGTGGGCTGGTGAGATGGCTCAGTGGTCTAAAGCACCTACTTAGAACAAGCTTAGCAAAGCATCAGGGACCGCGGTTCAGTCCCCAGCACCACATGCCAGCCAGCCCCGCCCCCTGGTGGGCTGAGCTGGCCACACACACACACACACACACACACACACATAAATAAATAAAAAAAAAAGTGATTAGGTACATTTATACTACGAGTAGTACAAGCCACTCGATGGGAAAGTCACATGTATACCACAGTGGTTCATGCTGGTGGGAATGTGTTAAACAATCTCTGAAGTCTTTGTCACAAAGCAAACTATTCCATCACAGCCTTGTTTTTGTCTCAATTCAGGACTGGTGGCTTGGCAGAAAATGACAGAAGGGCCTACAGATGAATCCAGTCTGAAAGGTTTGGCCGATGCTATTAAATTACTGTATGACACAGGTACCAGAGAGTGGACAGCAGACGATATTATCAGTCTTATAGACGAACTGTCAGGTAAAATATGGATTTGTTAATAGACAGTAGTAAAGATTCACTATTGGGCTATGGTTAAAAGTATAAGGCTTGTTGTACAGGTAACACGAGAAGTGCTTGTTAGAAAATCGCAGACTGCTTGGAAGTACTTAGGGTTTAGCACTAGGTTGGAGGAGAACACACGTGCAACTTTCTTTTTTTGTTTTTTTGCTGAACCGGGGATCGAACTCAGGGCCTCTTGCTTGTCAAGGAAGCGCTTATTCCACTGAGCCATCTCCCTGGCCCCCTTTATTTCACAAATATGCATTTGTCAGTATTATTCAAAACTTTATAGGCTTTTTTTTTTGTTTTGGATTTTGGGGGGGGGAGGGACTGAGGATCAAATTCAGTACTCTGTGCTTGCCAAAAGGACACTTAGCCCACTGAGCTATCTCCCTGGATCTCTCTCTCTCTCTCTCTCTCTCTCTCTCTCTCTCTCTCTCTCTCTTGGTGGAACTGGGGATTGAACTCAGGCCCTTGTATTTGCCAAGCAAGTGTTTATTCTACTAAGCCATCTCCCCAGCCTCTCTCTTTTTTTTTTTTTGGAGACAGGGTTTTCATGCATAGTTCAGGCTGCCCTTGAACTCACTATGTAGCCCAGGCTGGCCTCAAGCTCATAACGATCCTCCTGCTTCAGCCTCCCGAGTGCGAGGCTGACAGGCACAGGGCATTGCACCCAGCTCAAAGCTTTAGAGTTTAACTGGCCCCCTTATTCCCATTTCACAAGTCCTTGGAAACACTCTGGGCTAGGAAGAAAGCCCCTTGTGGCTGGCACACGGCAGGTGAACCAGCCCTCCTGGCCGCACAGCACTGCAGTTACAGCTCTGTCCCTACCCAAGACCAGACCCCTGCCTGTGACATGCATGTGGGGGAAAGCTGCATCACTGCTCCGCCTGAGCAGGCCCCTGCCACATGCTGAGGGCCCGGCCCGTCTTGGGCTAGTGCTGTGACTGAACAACCAAAAGGTTTCTCCTAGTGCTGCGCTCGAGCTGTTTCCCCGTAAAGCAGGGTGGCACTGCGCGGGCCAAGGCGCTCGCTGTGGCTGAGGCGTGCCTTCCCGCGAGTAACTGCTCTGCTCCTCTCCAAGTGGTTCCCCGGGAGTGGCTGCTGGAGAACAATGCGCACCTCCTGATCCTCAGCGGGAACAACATCTGCTTCACGTTCATGGCCAGCAAGGCTGTCAACGGCCGGGCCCTGGAGCTGGCTCGGCTCGTGGTGTTCCTGGCGCTGGTGAGTGAAGGCAAAGGCTGCCTGCCCTCCCACAATCTCTGCTTTGGCGGCCGGGCTGGGGTGCAGCGCAGCAGCAGGTGATGGCCAGCCAGCATGGAGCCTGCGTCCTGTCCCCAGCTTCAGGAAAATAATGACAGAAACAATGCTCCTGCCAAGGAGCTGCCTGCAGGGATGGAAATGTGCGTGGAGCCTACTGTGAGAAGTGCTGTTCCTGAGTTCAAGCCCCAGTTCTGAAAAAAAAACCAACTGCAGTTCAGGGGCCAG